ACAGTCTACTGGGCACTCTTGTGTTAAACGCTGAACTGTAATCAAAAAACAGCAGTCTCACATAGTTACTCTGTTTCTTGTCCACGTGGCTAAGGGTGGTGTGCAGGACATGGGCGATGGCATCCTCTGTGGATCTGTTGGGTCAGTAGGCGAACTGGAGCGGATCTGTGGTGTTTGGGATGGAGGAAGAGATAATGTTCTTGAACAGCGTCTCGCACACCTCCGTAACCACTGAAGTCAGTGCAACTGGCCGGTAGTCATTCTGGCATGAGGGCTTGTTGTTCTTGGGCAAAGGGATGATTGTGGATTTCTTGAAGCATGCGGGGAACACAGACTTAGCCAGGGATTCATGGGAAAGTACCACACTTACATTTTTCGGCTTTAACATGAAGACGGTTTTCAAGCAAGCATTGTAAAACAGAGCCCACACAGAGATTTTACGACCTATGTGGGGATTGTGTTTCTCTAACTATGGGAAACCTAGAATGATAGAGCGTCTAGTAACCTGAATGTGGAAAAGGTGAGTGATTCAAGGGAATCAGAATCGGAGAAACTTAGGGAAATTAAGTTGTCATATCAGCATGTTTACAACAAACAACAAGCACTCATATAATAGGAGTGTAGAAACAGAGTTATGATAGATATATATTAAGATAAATAGATAAATATAGAGATATAGGTATAAACATAAATATACATATAAATATAAAAAGACAAATATGTGTGAAAATATATCATGGTGTACAAAAGTGACCAGGGTGCATTGAGGTGTGATTAATGCTGTTCCACACGTGTGGATCTGATCCACGTAGATAAATTAAAGATTCCGATAGCAGTGGGAAGGAACGACCTCCTGTAACATTCCCTCAGGCAGCAAGGTTGAAGGAACATGTTGCTGAAACTGCTCTTCAGATTGTCCAGTGTGTTATGGAGTGGGTGGGAGTCATTGTCCATGATTGCCAGCACTCTTCCCAGCATTTTGTTACTGATCACCACCTCCAGGGTGGCAAGCTTCATGCTAGCAACAGACTCAGCCTTCCTGATGACTTTGTTCAGTCTTTTTGTGTCCTTCTCTTTGATGCCCGCACCTCAGCACACCCCAGCAAAGAAGATGGTGCTCCCAACAACAGATTGATAAAACGTATAGAGCAGCTTGCCGCATAAGGATCTGAGCCTTCATAGGAAGTAAAATCAGCTCAAACCCTTTTTGTAGGCAGCTTCTGTGTTGGCAGACGACTCCAGCTTGTGATCCAGATGAACTCCCAGATACTTGTAGGATGTGACTATTTCGACGTCAGTCTCACCAATGCAGGATCTGTTTCTTCAGAAGTCCTCCATCAGCTCCTTTGTTTTGGCCACATTCATCTGCAGGTGGCTCACCTCACACCACCTCACGATTGATCAGTCCTGTGTACTTCTCTTCCCTTCCCATGCCCACACTTCCAATAATGGCCGTGTCATCAGAGAATTTCTGGAGGAGACAAATGTCTGTGATGTACTTGAAGTCGGCCCTATAGATGGTGAAGAGGAAAGGGGACAGAACAGTTCCCCGGAGTGCTCCAATATTGCTGTTCAGACTCTCTGACACACAGCTCTGCAGTCTCACAAACTGTGGTCTGCCTGTCAGGTAGTTGCTGATCCACTGGACCAGTGGAGCCTCTACCTGCATGTCCTCCAACTTCTCTCTCAGCAGCCCAGGCTAGATGGTGTTGAAGGCACTAGAGAAGTCAAAGAACATTATCCGAACTGTGGTGTTGTGTCTGTTGAGGGAGGAATACGCTCTCTGCTGCAGATGTATCACTGTGTTGTCCACCCCCAAGTGGGCCTGGTATGCAAACTGCAGAGGGTCTTGTGAGTGGAAGGCAAAGCTCACTGACGAAATCGAAGTCGATTAAGCTCTGCTCAGTGCCCAAATCTATGAGCGCATTCAATGAGTGAGACACACGGGGCAAGCTAATAGTCACAGGGAGCATTAGACAGGGCTTAGAGCTAACCGTGGATCCGCCTACCCGTATCCCCATACCTCGTACCTTTTCCTTTCTTCAGAAGTAACTGCCAAAGGAGCTGGACCGGAACGAGAAATGGGAGCGGAAAGGAAGAAAGATCACTAGGTTCAGTAGTTCCTCTCAACCAAATCCTTGAATGTGGCCAGCTCATCACAGGAAGCCAGGTGGTCCTGCATCTGATCATTCAGGGTATGATGGAAAACCCCACGGTGCAAAAATCAATAATAAATTCTGCTGTACTGCGTTTCCCTGCCTGAGATTTAATTTAATTTAATTTAATCTCTTTGCCGCACTGCCCTCAAAAGCAAGATGAGAAAAGGTCTTTTTAAACTCACCCAGAATAGCATCATACGGACACATGGAAACTGGACAGAACGTGAGAAACACTTCAGCCTAAGCCAGTGCTCCTCCCCTGGTTCAGCACAGAACCAGCTCGGGGTGAGTTGCAGTTTGTCATTCCCAAATGTTGGGTAAGATCTCATCCTGCTTACCCCCAATAGATTTACATTGTTCAGTTAGATGTTGTAGAACCTGTTCATATTGTCCTAATTACACACCTTGCTTGGCAATTGCAGAGCGAACCGGGTCTGTTGGGTCCATGGCTTGACCAGTCTGTACTGTCACAGGGCAGCCCAGAGGCCTGCGCAACTAAAAGGACCCAAAAGCAGGCTCAGTAAACTCAGCGATCAAATCACACATGTTTTATTCAGTGAGAAGAACTCCAAGTGAGAAGACACCCAAATCCACAATAACCCAGCATGACCTATCACAAATATTTACACGACTGTACATAAGAATTGGGAAGTGGCGAGGAATAGACATAGGGAAGGCTTGAAACTTGAAAAAGGCACAGAAGACAGGTTTGTTAACAGTCATTTAACATGAAGTTAACTAGTTAAGTTAGTTAAGTTTTTTTTTTTAAAGCAGCTTGACTGCTTTGGTAGATGGGAGAGAAGTTTCAGCTTTGAGTGTGTTTGTGAATAAATTAATGTTACAAAATAAGAAACATCTTAACTGCTGCGCACAACAGCTCAGTAGTGGACCTATAGACCTGGCATCTGTTCTGAACCTGCTGTTATTGTTTTAACACCAACTCAGCTCCACCTCTGTGCTGAGGCTGCACAGTAACCTTTCGGGAGGTCACAGCAAGTTCTCTATGCTGCGGTCAGCTCCACACTTTGACTGTGTTCATAGTGGATGACAGCAGGCTCCTGCTGCATGCTGGATGGGGTCGGCATTGATCTGATGACCCAGAGTGCATACTGCTGACAGGCAGTGAGGGAGAGCAGCTGAGTCAGGGATAGACTGTATGGGCTCAACTGATGGGCTGAGCTGTGGATTTGCTAAAGGTTAATTTTTTTATACAGAGAAACACCAGTGCACACGTTCATTAGCTTGTAGGAAATACAACAGAACTTTCCAAAGAAACATCTTTAGAGTAAAAAAAAAATGCCTGTTTGCTAGAAATGTCCTCTTGCTTAGAGCACCTCTCAAATGATCACTTACATGAGGTGAGAATAGCTAATCAGAGATTTTGTCTTTTTTAATATGTTAGTCTGGGCTGGGAAATGAATGTCTCTGTATGATTTACAGCACAAAATGAATGCCAGTCCTGTAATGTAGTACACAAGCCACAGTTAAAAACAGTCACACGGCGCTTTATAACAAAAATGATGATCAATTTAGAATCCCCAGTTAACTTGGTGTATGTTATAAGCATATGTTAGGACTGTGGGAGGAAGCCAGAGCACCCACACAGACACAGTAAGAACATTAAAACTCCACAAAAAAAGGCCAGAGTCAACAAGGAGATTCAAACCTTTCAATGCTGTAAGATTACTAAACTTCTGCACCGTCCTCTACTGTGATTTCACTGAACAAAAACCTTAAACCATAAAAAATCAGTTGCAACTATTGAGCATTTACATTTAAGTGCCTGATTAACAGAAAGTAAACAGATGATAAAACTGAAATTATGTTTCTTTCCGGAACACTTCTTTGTCATTGTTATTTCAAAGAGTGTTTTGAGGTCTATTAAGTGAATCACACAACATGTTGATGTGCTTTTACAAATCTGGTCTTTTCTCTGCTGTTGATTTCAAAAAAACTTTCAAAAACCTGTCACTTTTTATTATCTTTCACTTCAATCTCTTTGAACTAGGAGCTAAATGAGGAGCTATTTGTAGCTGATATAATGAGGAGTTTCAGAAATTTCAGACAACTTGTACAAGTATTCTAGCATTGCTATGGATAGAAATTTCCTACCCAACCTAGCACCACTGATTAAAATTAATATGTTAGTGACCACTGACCATTGATCAGTGACCATTGATCAATGGCCACGGGCGCCATTGACAGAGAGGATGCAGTCACTGCATTGGGAGATGGTGAAAGATGTACCCTTTGGCCCCCTCTGCGATTCAGAGACGGTCTTTCCCTTTTCATATAAATGGCCTCAACCAGCATTCCTCCCTGTCAAGGATGTGTGCATCCTCGTCATTGACAGAGCAGTCACAGGGCTGTAAGTGAAAATTGACTGCAGATTCCTGGACTGATGAGTTAGATCTTCTATGGTCTGATGTGACGCCTTCATATTATTTATCAGAGTAATTTGTCGTTGTTTGAATCAAAAGACTCTTCAGAGTCCTCTGTCAGCTTAAGCAGAGTTTATTCGCATGACTGTGGCAGTGGTCAATGGAATTAGATAGTTAATGGATAAAGGCATTTCATGCATCTCATACTGGACTTTCGTATGGTCTTCACATTTTTGTATTTTCTGTTTAAACTTATTCTGTAACACAATAAGTTTTTAGCATTTCATATCTTATAATATGGTATTTGAGCACATCTACAAGTGACTGAAGTGATTGCTGCGACACTGAAATTCTGTTTTGTGAATAATAAAGACAGGTTTGACAATATAACATCTACAATGTAACAGTAGGTTTTGTAGAGAAGTATAAGAACTTAATGTTTTTTGTCCTCTGTTTACAGCGCTGCTGTATGCCACCATTTTTGGTAACGTCACCACCATCTTCCAGCAGATGTATGCCAACACCAACAGGTACCATGAGATGCTCAACAGTGTGAGAGACTTCCTCAAGCTCTACCAGGTCCCTAAAGGCTTGAGTGAGCGTGTGATGGACTACATTGTGTCCACCTGGTCCATGTCAAGAGGCATTGATACTGACAAGGTAAGAATTCAGTCCAAATCATTGTGTTATTGGAAGTGAAACAGCTGGTTGTGGTTGTATTTTTATTTATTATGAATTTTTGCTTCTATACAGTTATAGCTACAGTTTTAGCAGTACCATCACTGCCCAACCAAACTGAAACCAGAATTCTTAAATTTTTAAGTTAGTTTTGAAAAAATGGAACCATTCATTTCCAACACCAGGCCGGGGTCTTTCTGTGTGGAGTTTGCATGTTCTCCCCGTGTTTGCGTGGGTTCCCTCCGGGTACTCCGGCTTCCTCCCACCGTCCAAAGACATGCAGCTTGTGGGGATAGGTTAATTGGAAAATCCAAATTGTCACTAGGTGTGAATGTGCGAATGAATGTGAGTGCGAATGGTTGTCTGTCCCTGTGTGTTGGCCCTGCGACAGACTGGCGACCTGTCCAGGGTGTACCCCACCTCTCGCCCTATGACAGCTGGGATAGGCTCCAGCGCCCCCCGCGACCCTGAAAAGGATAAGCGGAAGCGAATGGATGGATGGATGGATGGAACCACTCATACTCTTCTGCACAAATAAATCACAATATATTTCCATGAAGAGGCTGCTACGAAAACTGCAACCACTAAATACCTGCAAAGAGTAAGACAAGTCCTGAGCAGTCAGCTGAATGGAATGAACAAGATCTGGGCAATCGACACTTATGCCCCACTGGCCACCGGATACCTTGCTGGAATAATAATATGGCCAAAGGAGGACATAGAAGCCACTGACATCAAGACAACAAAGCTGATTACCATGCATGGAGGGTATAAACCCTAAATCGAGCATCTTGAGACTGTATGCTAAAGAGAAGGAAGGAGGCCAAGAACTAGTTAGTGTCTTTGTTGTCCAGGATAAAACAACAAAGATCCATGAATACATCAGGAAGGTGCCACAGCCAATCCTGTACTTAGTCAATACTTCAGGCAGTCATGACCAAAAGGTTTGGCAGTGGAACAATGTTTATTCCATGTGCAACTTCAGTTTTTATTGATATTAGTTTTTAAATGTTTTGATGATACAGTGAAAAACAATCTCAAGGATTTCATAAGTTTCAAAAGTTGCTGGTGAACTGCTGGTGAACAGTAAGTAGAATGTAGTTCATCAGCATGGAAATGAAGCATAAAAAGGGCAGCATCATTATGTCTGCATTAACTGTATTTCTGTTTTCACGTCAGCTTAGGAAATCCTGAATATAACTACTGATGACATTTTAGCAATGATCATTATTTATCTGGCTCTGTGTGACGTCACCTTGGTCTAACTCTGTTTGCAGGTGCTGCAGATTTGTCCAAAGGACATGCGAGCAGACATCTGTGTCCACCTCAACAGGAAGGTGTTTAAGGAACACCCGGCATTTCGCCTGGCCAGTGATGGCTGCCTGCGGGCTCTGGCCATGGAGTTTCAGACCATCCACAGTGCCCCTGGTGACCTTATCTATCATGCTGGAGAGAGCGTGGACAGCCTTTGCTTCGTCGTGTCAGGATCGCTGGAGGTCATCCAGGACGATGAGGTGGTGGCCATTTTAGGTGAGGGTCTTCAGTTAGAGAATAAGGCTAAGATTATTAAAAAATGAAGCTTTAGTCTTTTTAAAAGACAGTGTGACAGTGGGAAGGAAAAACTTGCTTTTAAGCAGGAAGAAACCTGTAGCAGAACCCAGCTCATGAAGGGGCAGCCATCTGCCGCGACCATAGGGGATGAGAGTGGGGAAGACCGGACAAAAGACATGCTGTGGAAGAGAGGCAGCAATTAATGGTATCTAAGTAGCCTAGAGCTACTGCAGCATAACTAAGGGAGGATTCATGTTCACCTGATCTAGTCCTAACTTTATGATTTGTCAAAAATAGCTCTCCATTTCTAGTTCTCATCCCCTACTCTTTCTGCAGTATTTTGGATCAACAGAAGGCTTTTAAAGGAGTCTTTAGGACAGCCTGATAATCAGGGGCGGAGCGTGGGGGTGGCTTACTGGGCTTAAGCCCGGGTTGTTTTGTCAGAAGCCCGGGGTCTTTTGGAGTGTAATTTTTTCATAGTTAGATGTCTGGCTGACAACTGTATAAAACAAAAAGTACACACAATATTCGAAGCACATAGTGCACACTGTGGGAATTTACGACTGTGCGTGAATCCCCCCTGATATTGGTATGATCCGAGCTCAGGCACTAAGTGACTGAGCGAGGGGGCGGGGCAGCTGCTGCCTGTGTCCGCTGTTGGAGAAACGGAGCCAGCCATACTAAGGAGAGCTTAAGTTTGACCAGTTACCAAAGAAAATCATTCATACCGTACAAATAATGTAAATATGACGGTGCATCACGAAAGATTGATATCAAACTGATCACTTGACCAATATTACGTTACTCGCTCTTCAAGTGAATCAACAAATGGCGAAATGAAAAGCCGAACAAATGCTATTTTTTTAGAGTCTTAGCTTACGTGTGTTTATTTCATATTTTCAGTTCTTACCCTCCCCGACTAAATCGGTTTCAGTTATGTACTGAAATATAAGAATGGACATTAGAGGCTTCTTTCAAAGAAAAAACTCAGGTAAATGTTATTTTGTATATTATGCTTTGTATGTTGTTCAGTATATTTCTATGCAAAACAAGAGGGATTTCAGTACACAGCAGGATATTCACATTTGTAACCAGATATTTACACTTTAGGGAGAAAACATAAAATATTTTTACTGTACAACATCAATTTAGAGTAAACTTTTGTTTTAGATAAATATTGAAATATATTTTGAATTAGTTAAATGTCAGAATAAAGAGAGACAGAGCTGTCTATTTTTTATCACTTTGATCAAATTTAGGAGTACATATACATTAAGTTTATTGTTAATTAGTAAGAAACTCCAGACGATTCCATTCTGAGCTGAAGAAGCTTCTGATTGGTTAGTAGAGTCCATGTGAGTAAACTGGTGGCACAGCTGTGGATGCATATAAGGCAAAACACAGAGCCTGTTTTTTTGAAATGGGAAAATCAAGAGATGTCAACCAAAACACCAGGAAAAGAACTGTGGAGCTCCATAAGTGTGGCTCAGTTTGAATACAATTTGGTGCCATTTGCAATTAAGAAATACAGATAGTTTCTCTCTTTGCTCTTAAAGTTAACAAATATGTTTTTTATATTTATCAATCTAAAAAAATAAACATTTAGTCCGATTTGATGTTACAATTAAAAAGTGTTTGTGTTTTGATCTGAACAGTACATAAATATGTGGTTTCAACTGTATATTTGATGATTGTCAGCACAAAGAGGGAGAGAGAGGAACAGAGAGGGAGATGGAGAATGAGGACAGAACAGAGATGAACAAGAGCAGGTGAGACACACATGTTAGTCAAATGGTCATTTGCCAAAAGTATCACCGTATCATAGGTTCTCATGTATCTCGTACCTAGTGTTTCTTTTTAGGTTTGCTATTTTTCAAATTCTATATTTATTAAGTTATGCAGGCTTGTTCGCACAACAAGGATAAATAATTATATAAACTTTTCTCAATCTAAATATTGTACTTTGGTGGAATTAAAAAATAAGTGTAGTGCAGGTCTATGATGATTTTTAGTGCTACTATCATCTAGTTCTGATTCTGGTTCTGTCTTGGTTAAGTCCTCAGTAGTCCTGATTTTGAACTGTTGTAGTCCTGTTTTAATTCCGGATCAGTTCTGGGTCTGGTTGAATTGGGGTTTAGTCCCTGTGTCTTGATACAGCCCCGACTTTGTTCTGCCTTGCTGCTTAATTAAAAAACTAGTTTAAGATGTCCTGCATATGTGATATACATTTTTCCATATATGAAGTCATTCTTTTTTGAACAAAACTCAAAACACAGCCTAATAAATTTTTCAGTCATTTCTAACCCCCCCCCCCCCCCCCCCCCAAAAAAAAAAAAAAAAAAAACCACATGCATACTACCCTTTAGGGCTAAGCCCCGGGTGTTTCAAATGTCTGGCTCCGCCTCTGCTGATAATAATGAATTCCAGTAGTCAAGAAGTCTAACCTTGCCTGACCTCGTTTTTCAGGATCACCCTGAGAAAAGATGTTTCTAATTTAGAAACATTGTGTATATGAAAGAAAGGAATCCTACATGTTAATTTAATATGCAAATTGCAGGTCATATCCTGTTCAAAAATTCAAAGATATTTAGGAGTTTTAGTTTTATATGAATTTAGAAGCATTAGAGATCATCCAGGCCTTTGTGTCTTAAGGTAGTCCTATAGTTTAACTAATTGATGTGTATCATCTGGTTTGTGGCTAGATAAAGCTGGGTACCTGCATAGGAGTGAAAATGTATGCTATGCCTTTTATTGATATTGAACAGAATTGATCCTAGCACAGATAGGAAAAAACTCCATTCCTCTTCAGATGATAAGTTAGCTGTTTTACCACTACTCTTTCACAATTTTTTTAGATAAAAGGAAGGTTGGAAGTTGGCCTATAATTAGGCAAATGAGCTAATTATAGGCTAATTTGTGAGCTAATTATATTACACCTTCCCCATTGCCGAGTAACTAATTTGTACATTTCTTATAGCCCATTTGTTGAAACAAAAATGATTTATTGTCCATTGTACGCTCTCATAGTAGTGCTATTAACCCTCCACACTATGTGGACCAAATATAAATAACAGATCAATGGTGTCTTTCAAACGCTATTGCTTCTAGTTAGACACACACACTTGGCAGATTATTTGTTACTTTCTGCATGATGAGAACGAAGGCTGTCTAAAATTGATTAGTTCTGGTGGGTTGCCACGTGGCCAGCGGCTGAGTTGAATCAGTTCAGTTGGGCAGCCCCATGGCCAGCAGCTGAGATGAATCAGTTCAGTAGGACTGCACCGTTGCCAGCAGCTGAGATGAATCAGTTCAGGTGGGCAGCCCCATGGCCAACAGCAGCGCTAGAGCCAATCCAGAGGACGGCCCGCATAGAAAATGACAGTGACACAGGGCAAGCTGTGAATGGAGGCTGTTGGACAGCTTGGCAGGTGGCTGGCATGCAGGACCAGACGAGGTGGATCCTGCAGGCGATGGCGTGGGAGCTGCGGGTAGAGGAGCTGCAGGTGACGATGTGGGAGTCGCGGGTGGAGGAGCTACAGGCGATGGCGTGGGAGCTGTGGGTGGTGGAGATGAAGCAGGACCAGCAGGTGCGGAAACGTCTGGCAGCGGAGACGAAGCAGGGACAAACTGAACTGAAATACACATGCGGAATTGACAACTACAATGACAAGACAAGGAACTGAGGGAAACTGAGGACTTAAATACACAGGCTAATGATGATGGTGATAAGAGAGTGTTGAGTACACAGCTGAACTTAATGTAACTAATCACAACAGGACGTGGAACTAGACATAATGCACATAGTCAGAAGGTTACCACACTAAGACAGGAAACACATGGACTATAAACAGTGAACATAAACAAACTGAAAACACTGGATCAACAACCCAGGAACCCTGAAACATACATTTTAGAGTCAAATGTTCATCTACCACTATTATTACTATTCATCTACCACTAGAATATAGAAAAAGGTCACACATCAGCTGTCCAAACCTTGTGATGTACTGCTGACCAAAAAGAGCACAAAGTTTCATTTCACATTTGCCCAAAAAACATCTTGATTAGTCTTTTGGGAAAATATTCTTTGGACTGATGAGAAAATCTGTCTGTGTAATACACTATCACAACTCCTTTTTCCTTTCCGGCATGGCCACTACTGAAATAGGGAAGGCATGATTAGAAGATGCTCACCGGCTGCGAAAGCCAGTCTCCCCTGCCACCCACTGCACATGCTCCACCCAGGTCTCACTGTGGATGACAACATCATCTAGGTAGAAGCAGTATATGTAGCTTGTGGACACAGCATGCGGTCCATGAGGCGCTGGGGATCTGACACAAGCCAAACCGAAGAAGCATTGTAACAAAAAGTGAGCAGTGCCTAACCAGTCCAGGAGCTCGTCGACCCGTGGCATCAAACTGTGAGATCTCATTCACCTTGAGATATTCAACACAGAACCATATAGCCCCATCTTTCTTTATTCCAAAAACAATGGGGCTACACCACGTGCTGTGTGACTCTTCTATTACTCCCAGCTTTAGCATTTCAGCCAACTCCTTTTGAACCATTTGTCTCTTGTGCTCAGGTAACCTGTAAGGTTGTGAACGCAGGGTCACACCAGGCTGTGTTTCAAAGGGGCACTCTATGGGAATCATATGGCTGGGCAGAGGGGAACACATCTACAAACTCCTGTTGCAGTGTAGCAACATCTGCTCTCTGGACCTGTGTGAGATGGTCATCACAATGGAGGAAGATGGGAATGATCGAATTTGGCACCTCTGGCCCCAACTAATCTCTCTCCTTCAGACTCATCAGAGAAGCCTCTCAGCATCTCTCCATGTTTCTAGGAGATTGAGGTGATATACCTGTGTGGCTCCACCTCTGTTTCACCGCACCACCTCATAGTCTACCTCACCCATTTGCCACGTGACCACTAAAGGTCATAACCTCCCCAATGTGTGCAGCTTTGCTCTCAGGT